CACAGTGATATATGCACACCCATGTTTATAGTGGGCCAGTTTGTAATAGCTAAAACTTGGAAACAGATCAATTGCCCATCAGATGGAGACTGGATAAAGAAGATGTGGTTTTTCTATAAAATGGAGTACTACACAGCCATAAAGAATGAAAAACTAGAGTCATTCATAGGAAAATGGATGCATATTGAGGCCATACTCTTAAGTGAAATAAATGACACACATGTGTAAATACTGAATAGTTTCTCTGGTATGTAAAACTAAGTGTAAATAAAATCCTAATGGGATAATTGACAATGTGAAATAGGAAGAAAAAGGCTAAATGTGTAGGAGAAAGGGGAAGGATAGGGGAAAGGAAATAAGGGAGAAGAAAAAATATGAGAAAATGAAAAAATGGAAACAAAGCTTTGTAAATAGGGAACAGAGGAGTGGTTGATGTGAGGGTAGGGGTATAGGGAAAAAATGACAACCAAGACCTGTTATGTTAAGGTATAAGATCCCAAAGATGAATGTAACTATAATGTATATCCAAAAAGTACCAATAAACTCAATGAAGAAGAAAAAAACAAATTGTACAACTGACAATGTGAAATAGGAAAAAAATTGCTAATGGTGTAGGGGAAGTGGGAAGGGTAGGGGAAAGGAAATAAGGGAAAAGAAAAAAACTTTGAGAAAAGGAAGAAATAGAAACAATGTGTTTGTAAAAAGTGTGGAGGGGGTGACGGGGGGCAGAGTAATGGGGTAAAATGAGAATGAAGATCTGTCATGTAATGGTGCAAGATCCCAGTTAGAATGTAACTGTACTGTATTCTTAAAAAGTACCAATAAACTGAATGAAGAAAAAAAAAGAGCTTAGGAGATGAAACCTTGAAAGAAGTCAAGATATTTATTTGCATAGAAATACATTTTAAGTCATGGGTTGTAGTTGGAAACCAACACAAATAGCAAAACTGTTAAATGCTACTGCTCAGCACAGAGGGAGAAAGAGAGCTTCTCAGCTTGTAGGTGAAGCACTGTGCTACCTTGGTGTGTCATAAGAGAGCCAGGGTGGAGATTGGACTGTGATAAGTGTTTGTACTAACAAGGCTCTAGAGGACTGGGTCCCATGGCTCCCTGTATGGAGAGGCCCAAAAAGGAGCCTGTGTAGCTTCCTCCTCCTCCAGGTATTAGCCTGATGAAGAGGCAGCTCCAAGTTTCTATTAGATCAGGTTTCAAAATATAAATGTGAAACACTTCCAAATTCCTACAAACCTGGGTTATGTGGGTTCAGAGTACCACATGTCCTAGGTTTTCTCCAATACTCAGTACAGAAAGTCCCCTGTGTGGTCTTCGCTATGCCAGCTGAAGACTCTAGCTGATAGCTGCAGCCTGTCCTTCAGAAATGCTTTCTTTTTCATGTTTTTGCAGTGCTTCTTAATTTCCTGGGCTCCTCACCTGGATATCTTATCTGTTTCTTGCTCTCCTTTTGTGCTCTCTAATCTATGTTTGGTTTAGCAGTGTGAATTTTGCTTTGGGTTGATTGCTGTTTCTATTTACTTTTCTTTTTCTCAAATGCTCATTATAGTTAATCCCATCACATTGACTATTGGGAAGACTTTTTCCTCCAACTGAGGACATATGCATTATCTTTTCAGTAACTAAGGTGGTGGAAAGGAATGAAACAAGTCAAACAGTTGAGGCTGTATTCTTTTTAGCATGTTCAAGCCAGCTCATACCTGTTGAGTGACATAGCAGATGAAAAGACATTGGAGGTAAGTAATGGGGATTTATCACGTTGGGTGACAGAGGGAAAGGTTGCCCCAAGTTTCTGGAAGTATCTTATTGTTGCCTCAGAGATCCATAGTGATTTCTGGGAGCATATATAGGATGAAGGATGAGACACACTTTCTAAGAAAAAATAAACAAAGGACAGAGCAAGAGATACTACCACAAAGGACTTGAGTAGAGGAAAAAAGGTGTAGAAGGTATAAAGGCAGGCTTACAAGGATAGCTTTTGTGAAATGAGTATGTGTCAGCAATACACAATAATGAAAATTATCTTGGATAATTGGTATACATTCAAATCTCACCTTGATCATGTTTGCTTCTCCTTTTCTCCTGTCCTTCCTCTCCCCTTTCCCAGATTCACTTCCCATCTCCACAGAAACTATTTCACTCTTTCCTAAAATGGCTCATTTATTTAACTCTTTAAATTACATTTCATTTTTCTCATGTTAGAAAAACCGTGTGATAGTTAATCTTCTGTGTCTTCTTGTTTCATTCCTCCTCATATAAATGCCACAAACTTATCATTCTTTATGGGTAGAATGGAAAGGTTTTAATCTCTCACAATGGTCTACTAAGCAAAATTTATTAAATTTTTCAGTTACTGTTTTCAGACTGGTTAATCCAGTTAACTGAAACTGAAAAGAAAAACCATGATGTGGTGGTTGACTACCATATGTCTCTCAGTGCAACAGTAGCCACCATGGGCATAAATGAAACAGTGTGGTGCTTCCTGCCCATGAAGCCTCTCGAACTGCTCACTTTACCCTGGGAATTAGAAATATCGATTATAGTCATCCTGCATCAAATCCATGTCACCTTTGCATTACATGAGAGCTGCTCCTATATTCTCAGGCATCAAGAGGAACGAAAGGGGAGGGCACAGGAGCTGTAACTGAGGAAATATATTTTCACCCAGACTTCATTTAGATGAAAGATCTTGGATGATCACTTGATGCTGCAATGGATTGTAATGAAATTCTGAGGCTTGTGGGGAGGAGTGAGTGTATCCTGAATATGAGAGAAAAGAAAATAACTTGTGGGAAGAGCGCAGGCTGTGGTAAATTAAATATAGCCAAAGTAATTCCCTAGTGTTTCTCCTGCATAATTGAGCTTGATATCCTTCCCTTAGTCATTAGCTTGAACTCGTCATTACACTCACTGAGCATCAGTTTACCTGTCTATAAAATGGATATGACAACAGTCCCCACATCCCATGCTTTTGAATTACTTGTGATCATGTACTGAAAATTCTCAAGAAGAACTAATTCGTGCTGATACGTGTGTGGGAGGTGTGGTATCTTTGTTAGCAGGTGGTATGTTTGAGGCATCATGGCAGAGGAATTCTATACAGCCTGCCTCATTTCAGACTTCACTTTTGGAGCGACATGCTTCATAGTAGGATTCCTCCATTCAAGGATATCAGAAACAGTTACATTACAACATTCCCTTGATTTCTTCTTCATTCCACTTTTTCCTAGGCCACAGAACAGGAACAGAACTGTGTGGTGCAAAGGTGAGTGTTCCCAGGATGCTTGCTGGATGGGCTGAAGTGCACCGCATTCCAGCAAAAGCCTCAGGACCCCACTCTCGAGACCCACACCCAAGAGCTCACCTCTGGGAAGAGGCGCCCGGGTCTCCCTGGACCCAGTCAGGGTTGGCTGAGAACAGGCTGCTCCATGACACTGAGGTTGGCTCTAATGAGCACTCTGGGAGGTGGTGCATCAGGAGCTTTATAGCTCTAAGGAAACTTCCCTTCCTGTCAGGTGTGGGGACCCTGAAAGTGAGCCACGTGCTGCAGGTGTTCCTGATGAGGTGAGGGCCCGATAGACCCCAGTGTTATCGAAACTGAGTCAGGAAAACCTCACAGTACATTACTGAGAATTTCCCATCATGAGGAGAGAACTGGAGAACTTGAAGATCCCTGAATTTGATAGATGCTCACAGGTGAGGATGTGTTAGGAGCAGGACAGCTGTGCACACATGCTTGAGCGCGTGCACACACACACACACACACATACACACACACACACACATGCCACTTCCCAGCATAATTAGCAGGTGAAAGTTGTAGGCCATGTACGCTGAGGCTCTGCCTAAGATCGGAGACCTCTCAATATTCCACAGGACAAATGGAAGACTGAAATATTCACAGATCTTCCAAAGACCAGTATGAGGAGGCCTCTCATGCCAGCTTCTTCTAAATCCTGGGAGATGAGAACAGAGTTTATTTTAAGCAGACAATGCCAAATATTGGTGATGTCTTTCTCTTTCTGTTCGTCCGATGAAGATGAAATATCAGGGAGATGTAGCAGGAGCTCATTTATCAAGGCACAGAGGGTGTGAATATCACATTCCAGAGCAGTTTTAAAAGAGAAGTGAAAAGGGGAAGAGGAGGAGGATAAAGGATTCAGGGATGGAGTGACCTGTTTGTGGAAGGGAGGCCCCCAAAGTGTGTGGGAGACTGGGATACAGCAGACATCCATGGCTCTCTGCCCAGAGGTGCTATGCCCCCATTTAGGGAACAGTTCAGGATGGGTCTGAATGGTGAGACAACTCTAGGGATCAGGAGACAAATGAAGAGGAATCTGTCTTCAGAGACATTTTCAGTCCTCACACAAAGGCCATGACATGTGTGTGTTTGTGCTTGTACACACACGTGCACAGATCCTAGGAGCCAGAGGAAGTTTGTGGTAATAATAATGTGACTGCTTTTTAATGCATAGTCTTCAATCATTATTGTAATATTGCCATCAAGGCTAATTTAAATTTTCTCCTCTACCAAATAGTTCACACTGGCCCCTATGATCTAACTGATGATTTTACTGTACATGGTTATAACAGCAAAAATACAAGTGTATTTGAATTAATATAATCTGGTATTGTCATCTAAATAATTATTTAAAATATTGTATTAGTAGTTGTTTGCAATTAATGCAATTTACAGCTATCTTGGGGCTGGGAGTATGTATACATTTCAACTTGTTTCTTTTCTTTCTTCTTCTCCTTCCCAACACCCTCCTCTCCCTCACCAATTTCTCTATCCTCTTCTCACACTTGTTGATATTATTTGCCTTAGCACATATAATCTTAACTCTCATGTGACTATCTCATGGCTATTTTCTTTCACCTTCAGTGAGATCCATAGATTCTCTTTCCACCATGTACTTCTCCTACCAGTATAATCCTGGCCATACAGAGATGTATCTGTAATTTGATATAATTTTTTATTGATACATGGAAGGTTCTATCTGTACAGATAACGAGACCTACAAATCATGAGAAAGCCAAGCCAGGTGAACCAAACAGCTGCTTCAGACTTCCTCCTTCTAGGGCTCTCTGCGCGGCTGGAGGAGCAGCCTCTTCTATTTGGCGCCTTCCTCGGCATGTACCTGATCACCATGGTGGGGAATCTGCTCATCATCCTGGCCATCTGCTCTGACCCACACCTCCATACTCCCATGTACTTCTTCCCGGCCAATCTATCCTTAACCGATGCCTGCTTCAGTTCAGCCTCAATCCTCAAAATGCTGGTCAACATTCACACCCAGCGTCCGACCATCTCCTATTCTGGGTGCCTTACCCAGGTATATTTCTTGCTCATGTTTGGTGGTCTTGACAACTGCCTGCTGGCTGTGATGGCATATGACCGCTTTGTGGCCATCTGCCAGCCACTCCATTACAGCACAGCCATGAGTCCTCAACTCTGTGTGCTACTACTGGGTATGTGTTGGTTGCTAACCAACTGTCCTGCCCTGGTGCACACACTTTTGCTGACCCGTGTTGTTTTCTGTGTCCCCACCATAATCCCCCACTTCCACTGTGACCCCAGGGCTCTACTGAAGCTTGCCTGCTCTGACACCCACATTAACGAGCTGATGATCGTCATCATGGGGTTATTGTTCCTCACCGTTCCCCTCATGCTGATTGTCATCTCCTATGTCCGTATTTCCTGGACCGTGTTTAGCATTCCATCTTCAGGAGGGCGATGGAAGGCCTTCTCTACCTGTGGTTCCCATCTCACAGTGGTTCTGCTCTTTTATGGGTCACTTATGGGTGTGTATTTACTTCCCCCCTCAGCTCACTCTACAGAGAGAGAAAGCAAGGCTTCCATTCTCTATAATGTGATTATTCCTATGCTAAACCCACTCATCTACAGCTTGAGGAATAAAGACATGAAGCGTGCTTTGGGTAAACTTCTTGGCAGTGGTAAAACATTCTCCCTACCGTGATATGATGCCTAATGTTGTTGTTTTGATAAATCCTTGTTTTCATTACTTCAGTGATTCTGAGTTTGAGTTGAAATGAAGTGGTTATTTCACTCCTTTGCCAAGCTGTGATATGAGAATTTCTGCTTGTCTTGCTCAGTAAGATAACCATTATTAACAGTGAACCCCATGACATGGTCCTCATTTCCAATCCAGAACGATTCTATTGTGAAGGGAGGCCTATGATGTCCAGATCTGGGTCTGAGAATTTCTACCCAGTGAGACAGACATGCAGTGAGGTGTGTGGATGAGAGGAGAAATATTCAGTGACCATCCACAATGTTTCTAATCGTTTTTCCCAACAATTCTTTGTGGTAGATTTGTTGAAACTGTGCCTTAACATATAAATACCTTGTCATGGGCTTGGGATTTAGTTCAGTGGTTCTGCCTCCTGCCTTGGAATCATAAGGTCCCGAGCCTAGTCTCTAGAAAAGACAAAAAACCACAAAACGAAAACAAAAACAAAAAACACCCAAAGAAAAACAAAACAAAACAAAGAAAACCTTGCCAAAAGCAGGTAAGTTAGATTATGATATTTTTTCTCTTTTACTTTGTTGCATTCTGTTGATCATGGCAAGAAGGGTTAGCCCTAGACAAGGTTAATGTTGAATAAGGACAACAAAAAAATACATGTTACTAACACATTTTATGATATTTCCTTAGTATTTCATTTCTTTCCCATAAAAGTCTTCTTTTGTTATTTTCATACATAGTTAATTAGATATCAGTATTTGTTAAATGCCTACTATGTGCCAATTTTGTACTCATTTCATAATTCATTCTCTTGGTTCTTTTAAAAAATATTTTTTAAAATAAAAATTATAAATCAAATGGGTTGGCAATTTTAAAGCAGTAATGTAGTAAAATTCAGGCTGCCATAAATTGGTGATATAAGAAGTCACAGAGGTTAATAATGGTCATTTTTTTGCAATGGAATTATAGGTAATCATTTTCTGCTTTATAGGTATATGTTTTAGAGGCCATAGATATTTTAAATTTTGGGAGTGACAGAAAAAATTTTACAGTGATTAAAAGATACCGTAGAATGATAAGAAAAATCAAAAGGAAATCTCTAAAATCTCAAGTTCAAGTTCCTGTTTGCATTTTTTGAAAGGAAGATATGACTTGGGGTTGTATTTAGATTTTGTTTCTAGAGGAAGATGATTGGGCACCTGTATGCATTGCTCTTTGACCATTCTTTTCCCTATCTTCATAGATAGAATGGACAGGAATAAGGAGACAATTACAGAAAACAAATAGACCATCCTGCCCTTGAAGTTAAGTTAATTGAGCTTGACCACATCAATATATATCTGCAATTTCTAATACAAAACCAAAAATCAATAAAAGAAATCTTTGTATTTTTGAGTAATGTCTGTCTTCACAGAATTAATTCCTTGGCACTTGTACCCCTGAGCAATTTGTTGGCACATTTTTGGGAAATGTAGGTTAGCCCATTCCACTGTGCACTTAGGCAGGAATTGATGTTACACTGTTTTCCAGTAAACCTTATTTCTTTAGAGGAAGTTTAGGTTTATACCAAAATTGAGTAGAAATGTCCCTTTGCCAATATAAAAGCAGAATGGCTTCCACTGTCAACACCAGAAGGGTGCATTTGCTTTGGTGTTGTACATCCTATGGGTTTGAAAAATGTAGAATGGCCTGTATCTCTCATTAGTGTCATGCAGAACAGTTTCACTGCCCTATAATCCTCTGTCCTCCACCTAGTCTTCTCTCTACCCAACTACCTCCTGTAATCACTGATCTTTTCTTTTTCTTTATAGTTTTGCCTTTTGTAGAATGCCACATAATAAGAACAATGCAGTATGGAATTTTTAAAAAATGGGCTTCTTTCACCTTAGTAACACATTTTTAAGATTTCTTCATGACTTTTCATGGCTTGATAATTCAGTTTTAGTGCTAAGTAATATTCTACTTGAATATTCAATAAAAAGTGTTTGTGTATATTTTCATGTAAAGATCCAGTTGTGGGCAAAACACCCATTGTTAAAAGCACTTTCTTTTATCCATTATACTTTTAAATCAAATATCAAAAGCCAGTTGACTATGTTTGTGCAGACATATTTCTGGATTCTCTATTCTATTCCATCGATTATTTGGCTTCTATTGTGTCAGTTCTACACTATTTTGATTATTGGAGTTTTATAGTAAATGTTGAAGTCTGGTAGTAACAGTAGTTTCTTTTTCTTCTTCAGTAGTGTTTTAGCTACTATTGGTCTTTTGCCTTTCCAAACTTCAGGAGCAATTTGTCAGTTTTCATATTTATTAGTGTTTTGTTTGGGTTACATTGAAACTATGGATCAAGTTGGGAAGAACTGGCCATGAGTTTCATTATTCAAGAAAATGGAGCACATCTTCCCTGATTTAGTTGGTCTTGATTTCTATTATTTGAGTTTTGATATTTTTCCATACATCTTGTACATATTTTGTTATGCTTATACCTAAATTACTTTTTGGCAGGTGATAGTGTAAATGAAATGTTTTTAATTTCAAAGTATTTCAACTTGTTTATTGATGTTATATAAGAAAAACATTAACATTTTTGTATTAAACATATAAATAAATCTTAATGTAGTTTTTTTTCACTAATACAAAGAGATATTTTTCAGTTAATACTTTTGGGTATTCTGCATTGACAGGGGACTTGGTTCTGCTGACAAAGACAGTTTTTTTGGCCTTTCCAATCTATATACTTTAAATTTTTCTTTTCTTGTCTTACTGCATTGGCTAAGACTTCGAGAATGATGGTAAGTAAGAGTGGTTAAAGGCGACATCTATGCCTTGTTCCTATTATTGGGAGAGCTGATAGCTTCTCACCACAAAGTATGATATTACCTATAGGTTTTTCTTTGTAGAAGAAACTGATGAAGTTATCCCATATTCCTAATTTATTGGTATTCTAAAATTAAAAAGTGTTGGGTTTTGTCCCATTTTTTGAGGAAGATAGGGATTTTTTTCTTTAACTTTTGTATACTTCCAAATAAAGCTATAAAATGTACATATTTGTGTATGTTTTTGTGTGAACCTTAAATTTTCATGTCTTCAAAATAAATGCTATTTCTGAGTCATAATTTAGGTGGATGTTTCACTTTTTATTCATTGAGTTTATTATACAATTTGGGTGTGGATTATGAACACATTCATCTTATGGAATTTGTACCTGTACATGGTGTACCTTGACTGTTATTTTTTGCATGTTTAGTTTTAAAAGAGACTTTGAATTTTTTTCTAGGTGTCTATATGGTTTTATTCCAACTAGGTAGTATTTCTGTGTTCTCAAAAACATCTGTCATATCATTTTAAAATTTTATCCATTCTGATAATTATGTAGTCAGATCGCATTGTCATTTTATTTTGCACTTCCCAGGTAGCTAATGATGTTTAATATTTTTTGTATTCTTATCTACCAGCTCTTTATCTTCTCTGGTGAGGTGTCTCTTTATGTTTTCTGCTCATTTTCCCACTGGATTGTTTACTTCCCCCTCCAAACAGCATACTTGACAACTATGACTAGGCTCCTAAACTAAGAACAGGGTACAGTATGCAAAATCCAGGTTTGCCCTGAGAACACCTAAACAGCAGAAGCTTAACTGTGTTTGGTGCAGGACAGGAAGAGAGGAGGATGGGCCATTGCAAAGGAACACCAATCAGAATGATTTCCTATTTCTCACTGACAGTACTTGGTGCAGTAGGATAATATAGGTAAATATTTTTTAAAGAGCCAAAAAGAAAGTTTGGAAATCAAGAATGCTATATTCAGGGAAATATCTGCTTGCTCACCCAAGTTAAAGTGGTAAATAATATATTTTCTGATATAGAACACTCAGGGGCCAGAGATTTAACTCAGTGGTGCTGTTGCCTGCCTCACATGCACAAGGTCCCAAGTTCAATCCCCAGCTTAAAAAAAAAAAAAAAAGAGCTCCTGCCTGTGCACCACCTGCCCCAGTGAGGAAGGTGGGATTTGGAAGGCCACTCTCAGATCTGCTCTCTCACCAGCCTGCTTGGGCCCATTTGGTGAGACCGGGTAGCCGCACCCTCCCCTGCCTGCTCTGCCACCAGCTCCAGCAAGGAAGGTAGCCTTGTGGGAACCCATGAAATACCCCCATGACCACAATGCCCCGCCCCTGTTCTTGGACCTCCTGATTGGGCCAGTCCTTGGACCCACTCTGCAGAGGCACAGGTGGTCATAAAGAATATTTTTCTGAGCTTCCAACTTTGAACATCTTTAAAGAAAGGGTGGGGAAAACCTGTAATAAAACTGTGTGGCGTTCAACCTTGCAGGTTGGGGAACTCAATCTGGGCCTTGCAGCCTGAGGTCAGTCTGAGTCATGGGGATCTGCCATTGGCTAGCTGAGATCAGGGGACTTGGTTCTGCACATGGCTGTGCACGTGGTATATTATGACAGGAGAGACATAGTTTGAAAAAGGCCCTTCAAATTCATTTTTTTCTTTCTTTTCCTCATTCCACTCTGCAAATTGTTTCTTTTTTCTGTTCTCTTTCTCCAACTTAGCCTCTTGCCCCACCATATTATCCCTCATCTCCCTTTCTGCTCCTGCCCTAACTCAGACTTCTTCTTTTATCATTTTTTCTATTTTCTTTATGTTCTTTTCTTCTGTCATTTTACCTCACTCATGGGTCAATAGTTTCAAAGGAAAGTGAGCCCCTATTACTGTTAAGGGAATATACTCTTGTCCTTATTCTTGCACTCTTTCTATCCCTTTTAAATTTTATAGTTTCATAAAGATTGTATGGTCATTCTATGTCCTCTGGCTTCACTTGAAACCTTCTCCTGTTCTTTTACTTATCTACTCCTCTCATCCTAATGCTGTCTAAGCCCCCATCCTAAATGGTAAAGGTGTTATAGTGAAAAGTGTATTCAATGCAAACATATTTTGGGCTGTTTCTTGATTTTAATTTAATTCACATGGTTTAAAGATGATAC